CCACTATAGACACATGGACCCTGTACCACTATAGACACATGGACCCTGTACCACTATAGACACATGGACCCTGTATCACTATCGACACTTGGACCTCATACCAATCAAGACACATGGACCCTGTACCACTATAGACACATGAACCCTATACCGCTATACCACTAAAGACACATTGGACCATATATATATATAATATATTATACCACTACAGGCAAAGCCATCAAGCTTTGGTAACTTATCATTTATTCGGATACAGATATTATCAAGATGTTTTCATCTAGAAGTGGGGAATTTTCAAAGATGGAATGTAGCTACATGAGGTGTAATTATTGGAGAAGTGCCCCGACTGCCAATCTACTGATAAGTTGTTTGGCCCCAAAATGTTTTTCTAATAAAAATTGATAAAAAAGATCCCTTTCATTTCGGTGCTGATCTAGACACAACATTTTTTCGTAGGTGAAAACTTATCTTTTGTGCCGTTGCCTCACTGGATGCAGGAAGAGAGAGAGCATCATTGGACTAAAGCCTATAGCTTCTTTTGTAGTGTCACACATTAGTGTAATGTATTTTAGGCCACAATTCATTATAAAAGGTGACTTATGAAATTATAATGGTGTTACTGACTTACTGAAGATAATTGTAAACTTCTAGGAAATTAATTTTAAGAACTTGAAATTGTATGTCACACAATTACAGACAATTTTCTGAAAGAATGGCATTTGAATATCAACAGCAATATTACATATTCTTGCAATCTAGACAAAGATATCCGACCCAGGGGTCTGGATCGCTTACACACGCTACAGACTAGCCTGTAGCGGGGAATTGTAGTGACCTTTTGGGGTCTTCGTGACGTCATTTTATGACGTTTTGGGGTCAGTCATTAACAATTACCATACTGGGCTTCATATGCAAATGAGAAATGTGTGTACAGTTTACAACTTTACTAGAAGAGCAGCTGTTTTACAGGTTTTAGGTAATAAGCAAGAAATAAAATCCATCCCTGATGTGAGATATGGATAAGGTAATTCAAACCCTCAGGATAAAATATTGAGCAGAAGGTCTCCTTCTTAATGTTTTATCCCTCGGGTTTGAATTACCTTATCCATACCTCACATCAGTGATGGATTCTATTATTACCACAAAACATAACGTTACTTAAGCTTGGTAACTATCCTTATGATGTCATTGGAATGTCACATGGTTACTGTAACTATCCTTATGATGTCATTGGGATGTCACATGGTTACTGTAACTGTCCTTATGGTGTCACAGGAATGTCACATGGTTACTATAACTATCCTTATGATGTCATTGAAATGTCACATGGTTACTGTAACTATCCTTATGATGTCACAGGAATGTCACATGGTTACTGTAACTGTCCTTATGGTGTCACAGGAATGTCACATGGTTACTGTAACTATCCTTATGTCATTGGGATGTCACATGGTTACTGTAATTATCCTTATGGTGTCACAGGAATGTCACATGGTTACCTTAACCAACATTATGTTGCTCTAAATGTTCTTGTTCTCTATTAAACACACTGTTCATGAAAACACTCCTGAGTTGAACCCTAGCTGTGTTTGTGTAAGAAAGGTTTTATACTGAAGATCAGCGGGCTGCAATATTTGAGATGTAATTTACTGACCCCAGGGGTCTGGCTCGCCCAGGAATTGCCCCAGGGCCAGGCAGCATCGGGGTGCTACCGATAGCCCTACTTAGTACTTATCAAACCCCAGTTTGTTTCCCCCTTATCACAAACATTTCCCTGTGATTTGTTCACAGTCTTGGTTCCTCCTTGGGCTTCTCTGCAAGACATGATGAAATTACATCTTATCTTTATTACTGCAGTTATATCAAATGATAGGAAATCTGTGGGAGATAAAACCCTGGCTTTATGGTTAGGGCCATTTACACAGGCAACTGTGTGCTAGCTGGCTACTTTTACTCAAAAAAAACAGCTGAGTTTGGAGGTTCCTTGTAGCAAAAATTAATTCAGAGTTCACGAAGGGGTTATGGTATTTTGGATTTTTGCCATGGTTGACTTGCTCTGAGAAAAACTTAACTTTGTTGTTCCCATTTGGTTTCTCAAAATGGTGCCAACTTTTCACGATCTAATTTTCTGCATTAAAAGTTGTTACACAAACCAGTCAATGTGGGTTTTAAGGTGAAAGCTGTTTCAGTTTGACATCAAACTAAAACATCATAAGTAACATATACTGCTTGCAATTGATTTAACATATACCCTGTAGTCAATATTTTCTTTTCCCCACCAAATTTTCATTCTCTGGTCTTTTGAATTGAGTATTCACATGTTAAAATTCACCTACTCATTGGTAACAGTTTCAAAACTACATTACATTTGTTGCATGGTTAATGTATAATTGAGTGAATGCATTAATGTCCTATATTTTGCGTATAAACTTAGGTATGACATTATGACATCATAAAATGATAAATTACCTCAAACTACCTTGTTTGTTGTATATGAAATATATTGTATCATTCCAAAACATCCATACAAGACAAAAATCATGACAATGACCATATTTTAGTAGATCATCAAAATGAATAACACTTCTGTCACAATGTAAAGATAATGTTCATCATCTTTAGATTTTGTTCCAGTATTGAAGGGCGAGTTAAATCTGTAAAGGAAAGGTAATGTGATTTAGTACCTGTTTCTTAATCTCCCATATGTTTGTTAATGTTCAGATGGTTCCTTTCTGTGATGAAGAGTTTGTCAGTGTTGTGTTTTTGTTGCAGGACGGTGTTTGTGTCAACAGTACAGCCACAGCCCAAACACATTGTCATAGTGATGGACCATGGAAATTCCCTGAGTGCCAACCAGCTGAGGACCGCCAAGGGCATCGCCAAACACCTGCTACACTCGCTATCAGAGAAGGACCGGGTAAGATAGCGCTGTTGTTCACAACCTTAGTGTAATGCAGAGTATTCTTCCCATCTGAAAAATTAGAACATAAATCATTAGAAAAATAGTTCACACACAATCGAGTTCTCTCAGTTGTATTTTATCTGCCAGTATCAATCATATGTAAATTATCAATAGTATCGATATTCCCAGTGTATAACAATTTGTGAAATGTTCTGTCTGCTCCATTGTTCACAGGTTGGGGTAGTAGGCCTGGCGTCACGCCCCACGTTCTCCAGGGCGCCGTCGGACGATACCTGTATCCACTCCTCCATGGTACCCGTCACGTTTGAGGCCACGCTCTACTTCAGCAAGTTTATAGACAACCTGGAAAAAGAGGATGGTAAGGCGTACACTGTTTATCACTGCAAACATACTCTTTACCTGAGAATAAAAATCCAAGGAGTGAGGACAACACTGCTAATTCATTAAAATTCTATAAAACTACGATGATATTACACAAGTGAGAACTAATGTATTTACTTCAAACTACGATGGAGGTTGAACCAATTCCTTTTGTCTTTTACAGTACACATATCAACAACAATGTATATCTGTCTATACTGTATGTCAAGTCCTTCCTTGTACAGAACTTACTGATCAAAGTAAAAGTACATGTTAAGAGCATCAGCTCAATATATTTTAGTTTCAACAATGGAGATTTTGTAATACAATGTTCTTATTCTTGTTGCAGCATCCACCAACCATTCTCTGGGGTTCCAAGTTGCTTTCAACATCATAGAGAACATGGTCAAAAAGACGAAAGGGGCAAAAATAGGTAAGAACAGGACTAGAGGTGGAACAAAATATGAGGTCCCAGAGGAATAGTCATCTTCTATATGTTTTCTATGATAAAGTTAGACTGAGGATTTCATTTCAGAAAAATGCGTGAAGTCCTGCAGTTGAATCTGTTGAGAATTATATTATGAATGTTAACAACATGTCCCGTAAGTGCCATCAAGCTTTGAAGAGTTCAACACTAGCCATTAAAGTTAAGCTGTGTTTGCAGATATTACAAAATATCATTCTTTCTTAGATTTTGTAAAAAAAAAATAGAATCTCAACATTTTGCATGAGGATCAAGTAAATACAATCTTGGGCATATTTACAAAATGCCTGGGTCCCATAAAACATGTGTGTGACTAAGATTAACACCTCCATTAACACATTGTCTGTTACTGTTACAGAACAAGCCATGATAATCTACATCAGTCGCGGCCTACTGTCCTCACTGACAGAGGCCAAGGATGTGATGGACATTATCTCCCGACGTAACGGTGGTCTGGGACATCGCGTCATCATCAACACTTATGCAGTCATTGATGGTAAGTACAATTCATTACGTGCAATTTACTTCTTTATTTTTGGGGGGTAGGGAGGTACTTATATTTTCCTTGTATTAAACTTAATATATATTGAAATCTGTTAATCCTTAATGTTTTTAGTTAGGGGACAGTGAAACTGAACTACAATGTGTTACAAACTTGGACAGCCAGGATGATGAAAAAACATTATCTCAAGTCAAGAAATTTTGTTAAGGCATTGATTATCTACTGCAAAGTTGATAGTTGAATTTTCACATATGTAACTCTATGATCATGTGGTCACCTTTGACAACAATTTAGCATGCAACCAGTGTAATTGTTGATTAACAAAGACACGTTCCATAATGGACCATTGAAAAATGTTCAGGGTTAACATAAAAAAAAATATGTAAATGCCCAGAATTTGTATTTATATGTGTGTCAATAATTTGCAGATGGAAAGCCCATTATGTATGAGAAGAGTTTTCTTCAGGACATAGCAGACCAGAACTTCAAGAAATATAATGTCCGAATTAGAAGTCCTAACCAAGTTGTGGTAAGATTTTACACCAGGGTTATTTATAGTATACAGTAGAGGTGTATTAGAATATTTTTTGGCCACCTATTACTTACCTGTTCAGTGAACCTTTTCTTATCCAACCTGTGGCATGCAACATCTTGGTCATAGTAGACAGGATGTCGGACCACACAGGTCTTGTTTGAAAGTTTTCATAACAAATAGTTTTACAACAATATGTTGGATTAGACAGGGTTTTGGAAGATTAGACAGATGTCTCTGTATATCTGAAAAATGTAACTCAAGTACTTTAATTGTAGATAAAGTTTGAATAAATTTTACTTGAATTAAATCTGTACTATTAAAAGTAATTGCCAAATTAAATTGTAAGGTTCACCTCTATCTTATATTTGTCGGCATTATTAATAAGTAAAATAATAATGGAAAAACAAAGAAAGTTTATTGATGAAAATAGCCAGTTTCCAATCGGACCAAATTCACCACAGTAGTGAAGGTTTTGTCAAGAGGTGAATGTTGATAGTAACTGGGTTGTTTTGTTATCACAGCCTGGTGTTATGATGGCCATCAATTCCACCAAGGACCTGAGCAGTTCTGTGGGGCGTTTCTACCTTCCCTTTAATCGTACCACCAACCGTCAAGTGCGATACTCCTTACCGTACATAGACAAGGCAGATTCAGGTAAGTGTCCAGATCAAGAATAGTCTCATTAACATCAATAAAGCATATCCATACTAGTCACTAGAGCTCCAAGCTCCTCTGGTGGAAACAACAGCATCAAGTATGTTTTCTTCAGGTTCAAAGTTCATTTTGTCTGCAGAATTTCCAGATGAGATTTTCACAGCTTGAGAAAATTGACCATTTAGAAATTCATGAGTTTGATTGTTTGATTGAGGAGAATTTGATTTGTTTTTCCTTTAATTTCTGTACAGCATTGACACTAACAATCAGCCAGACGTGTTTCCATCACGTCCAGGTGAATGGAGTGACGGATGACGACAAGGTGAATGGAGTGACAGATGAAGACCAGGTGATTGGAGTGACGGGTGTGGACCTCCACATGGAGGACATTGTACAAGACATGACGTACTTGGACGGTGACCAGGCCTACCTGTTCCTCATCAACACAGAAGGTCAGTCTCTGAAACCCACGCTGATGACATTTGGTCAATTTGTATTCAAAACTCGAACACATATCCTTGACTCTGAATATTGATATTGGAGATTTTAGTTATCATCAAAGAATGATAAATTTTCAGATTTAGAAATTGGTTTGTATTTGATAACAAATAACCTAACACTGTTTGTTTGACTGACACAGGTTACACCTTGATGCACCCGTCCTTCAGTCGCCCCATCAAGACACATCTACAGCCCATGCACACAGACATCTGGCACTTTGAAAATATGGACGGATTTGTCAAGATTCGAAGCGACATGTTAAAGTAAGTGTTAACACTCTATCCTGTTTGTTTTAATACAAATTGTTTCAATACCTGATATTCTTTTTAACATGAACCACGGGAGTTATCAGTATACATAGATTCATTAACACCATATGGTGCTCTTGGGACAAGATAATTAATTTTGTTGTTGCCACGTGGCGCCAGTGGGACCGGAAGAGCTCTGAGATAGCTATGTAAATGAGAAAATTTGTTATTCTGTTTGATTAAAATTTGCATGTGGAGAAAAAAAACCTGACTGAAGTTTTTATCAGTTTAATATCAAAATCTAGTGTGTAGGATCTAATGAAGTTGTAGCTTTTAACTTTTTACTACAAATGATATAGAGTGTTATTTTGCTATGCTGCCATTGTTTAGCCAACAAATTTTGGTATTTTAAAAGGGTATGGCAATATATTCAGGGAAACAAAGACATTATGAAAAACAATCGGAAGGGAAAAGTGATGATTTGATGGTAATGGAGGTGGTGAATAAATGAGTGGCATCACATTGAGGTTTTACTGTGATGTACTGATAGGATCTTAGACATTTCTGACACAGTGTATGGTACAGATTCAGTCCACATCATGGACTTTCCTGTCACTGTATATAAATGATGTACATTAAGGTGGTACTAGTAGGCGAGTGATATTTGTGTTAATGTAGGATACAGATCACATCTGACATATTTCTGACACATTATGTTGCTATGTTACAGTAAAGAGCGGGGGGAGGAAGTATTGATGGTTCAGAAGAAGGTTCCGTCAACCAACTCATCTGATCCTGTGGTTGCAGTTCCTGAATTTTACGCCAGATATATCTGGAGAAGGGTCAGTTCTTTTGTCACCTCGAAGTTATACAATCTCATTTAGAATTTTACCAGTATATTTTCAAATATATATCTTGGATTCTTGAGTCAAAATCTACTTAACTGCTATTGATATCAGAACAACTATTGATAATAGTAAGATTTTACTGCTAGTGGTATTAATATAGTGTGAGTAATTAATATTATTAATTTTCCAATAAAAAGAATTGAGTATCTCTCATAATTGAGTGAGACTGCTGTTATTAATCATGGAAAAAGGATCGTTTGTACACTTTTCAAAGAATAATTGTCACTTAATTGTGTTTCCTATTTTAGGTTGAAGATACACCTTTCATTTTGGCTTTGAAAACTGTGTCTGAGAGGAAAAACAACAAGAAACTTGTAAACATACCAGGTTTGTGTTCAAACAGTAGAAAAAGTTTGTCATTGATACCTGGGGTTATTTGCACCAACAAACTTCAAAAGTGAATTGACATTTTACATGCCAACTTTACTGTACAAAAAACAATTTCTTTCCTAAGAAAATATATAAAAAAACTAATAAATGTGCCAAGTTGATGTGTAACATTGATGTCCTTTGGTCTACCTGTCAATAGAATTGTAGCCTCAGCCTGCTGATGTATTTTGTTTTCTACCTGTGTGTAATGTTGTGTAACTCTTATTACAGTGTCCAAGGAACCTGAGCTTGTGTACCACAGACTGGACCTTGTACCCAAGAACAGGATGTGTCTTCATCTCAAACAGCTAGCTACACCAGGTAAGCCCGACATGTCCTCTCCATCATTCTGTTCATCCCTGTGATCAAATCTAAATTGTCAACTGTAATGAACATGACAGGAGCATGGAGATTTTAATACCTTGGTTTTGTTTTGAAGATGTGAGCAGTGTGTTCCTGTCTGCCACTAGTTTCTCTGAGCCGTATGCGTATCTCAGCAAGGAGGAGACAAAAAGGATGGTCCAGAGTTACCTACTGTATCTGTCCGACAGTCTCGAGCTCCTAACTAATCCTGGCCTCAATGTAAGTGTCATATATGCTCTCTTAGTGATGTCAAAATTGTCTGGTTAAAATTTGGTTCTGCTCCATGCATATGTGACTTTCTGAGAAAGACATGTAATGGTATCAGCACTTTCCTGACAAGCCTAGTTTTGATAATGTATAACTTACCTGATTTCTTGGCCTTATCTTTGATTAGGATGACGTGAGAGATGACGTGACTGCCACAGGAAGAATTAATGCCGAGTGGCTGAGGAGATCTCTGTCCAGTAACCTCAACGACTACATCATTCGGAGGCAAGTGATTTTTTGCGTAAATTTGGGGGGAAATCAAGTTGCCGTCTAAATTGCTTAATATTCAGCCACTTATTATTAATATGTTTAGTGAGTTTTCCCTATGTGATTGAAATTTCTATGAAAATTGGACAAATCTTCTTTGTCAAGAAGTTTAAACAAAATATGGAGTGCATTTCTAATTGAATTGAATGAGCATCACCATGGGTTTTTTGGTCACAAAACACCTGAATTTTGAACAACACATCAACGATTTTCCTAGAAATACCAACAGATTCCTGTCCTAGACCTGTTGTGTGCCAGGTGTGCAGAGTACATCTAGGTGTATGGGGTTTAACAGAACATGATAGATCTGTGATTGTGCCACCATTTTAGAAGTTTCAATATGAGCTCCTTTTACCTAAATGTAGGTACATTGCCACACCGAGTGGGGTGTTCCGTATGCTGCCGGGTACCCTGATGGAGAAAACCTTTGATCCCACCAAACGGTCCTGGTATGTATTACATACAAGAATTTATGTCCTCTTGATTTAAATGTCTATGTGATAGAGTGTTTATACACCGTCATGTTCATCCTGACAGTTTCATTTCCTCACAAAATCTACAATAGAAATATTTATAACTCTGAGGCTTTATTTTACATACTTATCAAAGCCAGGTCTTTTAATTAAGGGCATTGACCAGACTACATTGAAGTTAAGATTTTGGAGGTTATTCTGTTTTAGAAATAAATATATACTTATGTTAGTACACCAGACAAGCAGGTCTCATCAGTGATGCTGAGGGCTGAAATGTTTGTTCCCAATAGTTAGTATAGTACATATTGTACTTATGTTTACTTGAACTTAACACATTCTTCATTAAATAACAGGTACCAGCGGGCCATGCAGTACCCCGACCAGGTGACCCTTACCTCACCTTATTTGGATGTGGGCGGGGCTGGCTACATCACTACAATCAGCCACACAGTATTTGAGGGAAAGTAAGTAGATTGTCTGATTAAATTTTTAGGTCACCTGAGACAAAGTCTCAAGTGACCTATTGCGATCGCCTTTTGTCCGTCGTCGTCCGTCGTCCGTCGTGCGTCCGTAAACAATTTACATTTTCGACTTCTTCTCCAAAACCCCTGAACCAATTTCAATGAAATTTTGCAGGGACCTTCCATGGACAAAGGTCAACAAAA